AATACGTAAATTGTTTTAAAATACCTATTTTATCTTGTAAATACCAAATCATTTTTATATAAGTTTCCCAACAGTTGATGTAATGATATAAATCTTTTAGCAGCTACTTATGTTTCATCCAAAACTATTAATTTAACCAAATATTTATCTATTCATCAAGTCTTGTTTAGGTTTACAAAGAAATTATATTTTTTTCTATTTATACAAGTAGATAAGAATGTTTGCGTTTAAAATAAATAAACAGGGGACTATTATATTATTAGTCACATTTACAACATGCACATGTGTTTGCTATTTCATGGGATAATCGAGCAGTTTCTATTTTTTTTTTTTTTTTCAGATAAAGTAAAAAACTCATAAAATATCTTAAAAATAATGTAACAGACCTCGACAATTACCTCATGCACTGTCCAAATGACCAAACAAGTACAAACATGGGTTCAAAAATGCTTCATAATCTACAGGGCGTTATCAAAATGCCTTACAAAATTTTCTTATAGTGATAGGTTAAAGTACTTATGGGAAACGTTGTTATTATTTCGTTCGTCTTTAGAAGTCTAAGGAGAAATTAGTAAACGTTGTAAAAAAGTCAGTATATGTGAAAAGATATCCAAAACATAGAAAATGATAGAAAGCTATCATCATGAAATCTCTGCAATTTAATCTTGACCAAACCAACATCTAACAAATGGAAACCACAACTTCATCTCAATTTTCATCGGTTCTTATTTTGCTCCAGTGGCAATCTCGTGTCCAGTCTACAACGCATTTACATGAAGGGTCACCGATATGGTTAAAATATAGTGGTGCAATAACAACTACTAGTGCCAATGTTCGTCTAATTAGATAGCGTTGATCTGTTCACATGTAAAGGCAAAGGTTCAGTGACCATGAATGCGATATATTGAAAAATAGAGTGTCAAAATAACCTCTTATCGCACTTTGATAAAATATTGTTTCCCAATAATGATTTTAAACATGGCGAGTATGCATCACGGTAGTGCAAAAGGCTATGAAAATATTTATATCTGTAGAAAATTTGTAAACATCTTTTTTTGGAAATTTAACAAAGGTTCAGCAGGACTTATGGCCCGCTTATAAATTTTGGATTTACTGTAAGATTTAACACATCTAGATTATTTTTTTACGCGGAAATATGATCGCTTATACAGTTTTATATAATCCTTGAATTTAGTCTGGATTAACTGGTATTGTCAAAAAGTAATGAAAAACTAATGGTAATCCTTTTCAGCATTATCTGTATTTTTAGGAACTCAAACCCAAAAACAAACGCGGTTTCCGCACCAACACCATCGCTAACCAAATATATAAAGTGGAATGATTTAACCCATTAAATCAATTGCATGTTACGGGAATGTCGTCAGCTGAAATTCAGCATCTGCTTATTATTAGTTTATTGCACCAATTTGTACCAATGAGAATAAATTACACTACACCAAACAGTTTGGCAGTGACTTGAAGTTTTTCTTTGTGTTCACAGTTGAATTATGTAAGCTTTTTATACGCCTTCGCCGTTTAGTGCGAAATGGACAACAACGTAAAATAAATGTTACGAAATATGAAAAGTATTCTTATATTTTTACGTTTAACGAATGACACAGCAAATTATTCAATAAATGATCGTATTTCAAATTAGATACAGTTTACAAGAACTATTGTAAGTAATTATTTGTCTAAGTCATGTTCGAAGCCTTTGACACAGTCGTTTTTTCCTCTTAATAGACTAAGAGCCGGATAGGAAAATTTTCCTAATCATTTTAGGCACCGTAAGAGTCTATGACTTAAATACTATACAACCTAAAAGAAAACATTTGAGCACTATGCCGTCAATTCTTCATGGCATATGGGTTGTCAGCGGAAAATCAAAGTTTCCAATTTTGGGCCGGGTAAATTAATTAAATAGAAATTGACAGCATACCTCAAGTCATTATGCCGTACATTTTTTATGGCCATGAGGTCACAGTAGGGAAATGAATGTACGGCTTTTGTGCCCTTTTCAAATTCATTAAAAATTAATTATTAAAAAAATATTGCCGTATAAATATCATGGCACTAAAGGGGAAAAGTTCCAAAAAAACGTTTGCATATAACTGCAATTTTTTTTTCAATGCGAAAGTTTTTAATATGTGTATGCACATCTACAATTCAATTTGTTTGTTTTTTCTTTTTTTGCATATTCCATGCAAATGTAACGGCAATATAATTTTTCATCATTACTAAACTCCCTTCATAATCTGCAATGAATGCCGTACAGGAATTGTTAATTATTGAGTATAGTAAAATTGAGATTTTAAATTATTATATATTTTTTATAGCATTCCATGAATGTTTCATCAAAAATATACTGCGATATAATTATTTATTATCATTTGATGGTGTTAATGTTATGGGGTAAATGCCGTATATATTCCTATATAATTTCATAAAGTAGTGAAAATGTCTTGAAAAATCCTACTAATTATGGAAAACCCTGAAATTAAAAATAGACGGCATCCACAATTTTGTTAATATTAACCCATGAATAATTTAAAACAGTAATGAAATTGAAAATATATATTACTATAGTAGCTGTCAAATGGATTTTCCAAATTGCAAAAATGAATTTTTTTTATTCATCAATTGTTTTTTTTTGGTGCCAATAGTTGTGTAGGGCACTTTTGTATAAAGACTATAAAGTGGAAAAACTTGCTTCCGAAATTTATGCCGTTCAGGAAATAATGATTTTTACCCAAAGGAAAATGACGTTAACTTCAGAGCACCCATAATTATGTAATAATAGTTTTTTAGCCAAATATTTTGTACAACACTTATATTTTTCATTATTTTAGAGCATAAGTAAAACTCTGAAATCGGTGCCATACACTTCTCAATATTTTTTTGGAATAGGCGTTGGAAATGAGAAAATTTGAGTCAGGGTAAAAGCTCTTAGATCCAGTGCTTTCGTCCGGCATAGTAAAATATAACTTTGAAATAAATATCTTTATTTAAAATCAGGCACGCTGTACAGTTTTCTATAATTTTTACATTAGTGAAAATATTTGGAAAATGAAATTTTTTTATTCTTTCCAGAACCGTTATTTTTGTACGGCATAAGGTTTTTATGTCTTATTTTTCTAATATCTGTCTTGGGTCGAAATGCCGTCAATTTCTATTTAATTAATTTACCCGGCCCAAAATTGGAAAGTTTAATTTTCTGATAACCCATATACCACGGAGAATTGACGGCATAGTGCTCAAATGTTTTCTTTTAAGTTGTAGTANCAGTGCATTCGTACGGCATAGTAAAATATAACTTTGAAATAAATATCTTTATTTAAAATCAGGCACGCTGTAGTTTTCTATAATTTTTACATTAGTGAAAATATTTGGAAAATGAAATTTTTTTTATTCTTTCAAGAACCGTTATTTTTGTACGGCATAAAGTTTTTATGTCTTATTTTTCAAATATCTGTCTTGGGTCGAAATGCCGTCAATTTCTATTTAATTAATTTACCCCGCCCAAAATTGGAAAGTTTAATTTTCCGCTGATAACCCATATGCCACGGAGAAATGACGGCATAGTGCTCAAATGTTTTCTTTTAAGTTGTAGTATTTAAGCCATAGCCTAAAATGATTAGGAAAATTTTCCTATCCGGCTCAGTCTATAATATTTATGGTTTGCTTACGAGAAGAGAAGCTACCTGATGAAACAATCCCGAGTGAAATATGGGAACAAAAGGATCTCTTTGTAGTAACTGTTTTTTATGTGATTAGTCTTTGACAAGGGTAATAATAGGACAGCAACAATACAGGATTCTTTGAACATTGTATATCTAGACATATAATTTTTAGTTTTTATTTTGGATAATTATTATTTATGACTAGCTGTAGATATATTTTGAATACCTAGGACCCTTGTTAGACTTCATTTGATGAAATTAAAAAAAAATTGAATTTGTTTGATTTAGCTTAATACTTTTCTCTTGTAGAAAAAAATTGAAACTATAAAAATGTATACATATAAACCAACTATCGATATTCAGAAAATTCTGGTGCAACAAATGTTATCCAAATAAAAACATGAACTTTGCACTGTTATATTCCCAGTCTTGGCAGATTTCCCAGTATTTGGTTAAAACAAAGAGCATTGGACTGCTATCAATAAAAACTCATGAAAACTAATTCATTGGAACTACAGTTTCAATAACACAAAAAACATAAATTAGTAGTAGATAACTGATAAAATTTTCAGTCTGAGTATATGCATTCTGAAGATTTTTGAAATCTCATAATTTACAGATCAACGCCAACTTTGAATATTCAAAGAGTTGTTAATTGTGGTGCAACAAAGGTTACCCAAACAAAAAAAATCACTTTTCAATGCCTCGCTCAAAGAATTTGAAATGCCATCAATAAAACTGATGAAAATTAATTTATTCGAACGACTATTTCAATAAATTGAAAATGTTTTTAAGGGTCAGTTCATTGAATAAAAATCAATGACCAAAGGTAATTAAATGGCAATTAATAACACTCATTGCACTTATCTTCGTTCTTTCCATCAGTTTATGGGCAAATTGAAATCTTAACCACAATGACGATCCAGGTTTTTGTATAAATTTCATGGAATTGGCAATCTTCAACAGAAAAATCGTTCCATTGATTCTTACTTGATTTATAATTCCATCAATTCCAGAAGCTAATACGTCTAAGTAGTTGGTTGTTTGTTCTTAATATCCGATATACAAGAAATTATAATTATTGACAAATAAGCTCCTGGGATTGATCTTAACAATAGTCCTTTGGCTCAAAGGAAATTTTCATGAAGGCATTTTTTATAAAGAAAGGCGGTTTTGGAAGATCACTGGTCATCGCTGCATCAGTTCTTACCAACAAGCACACTCGGATCGTGAATTTTGCCTTTTTTGCGTGCAGGGAGAAGGAAAAGCACCTCGCAGGCGAAAAAAGCGATATAGAAAAACACCCATAAAACAACTCACCTCGCAGTCGCTCCCGGCACTCGTAGATCCCAAAGAAACAGCAGAAATTTCGACCGGGTGCCCGACCGTCCACACTTGCACTATACCTCCTAAACTCGACTCTGTCAACGGAGCAGCAGAAAGACCAGAAGAGATGCTGTGCAGCGCTGGACCGGAGTGTGGCAGAATCGCGCGAGCACGGTAGAGAGGCGAACAGAACGCACGACAGCCGTCTATTGATCACTGCTGAAGCGAGCCGGCGACGGGCGACGGGGTACACGGCGGGATGGATATTCTGTTCCTCTTCGCCTTCTACGTCCGTCCAGGGTCGGCTTCGGGAGCTTGGGGGCGGCGCTGATAAGGGCTGCACTGAGGAACTTTTGTAAGGGAGCTGTAAGCTCGAAAATGTCACCTATTTTTCGAGTCGGTCGATCCTGAACAACAAAATTAAAATTTTACCACACTTTCGAATACGTAGCAGAAACCCAATACGCCTTTATGTAGTTGTTACGTTGTCAATTGGAACCTGTAAATCTTAAAGCACAGGACCGTATGCACTTCTCCTGAAATTTCTTCCTATGCTTTGACCATGACGTATCTCGTAATTTATACTCGAATAGCAGTCCGGTACTGGTAAACCTGTATTGGTCTACTAGGTCGTAAATAATTGTATGGTACACGGGTTCACTTAGCTTCACCAGTGCAGTGCAGAACATTGCTTGGCGGGGTATGTTGTTGGTATAATTATTTATTAATTGATGTTATTATTTGTTCATATCGTAACCAGTAAAGGGTAATAGTTATTAAAATAATGTTCTCTCTGGAGACTCTTTGAAGCTGAGGATATCGAAACAAACTCAGAGTTAAAAACAAAGATTTACACGTACAAAGTCAACGTATTATATTAAATATGTCGGAGTCGTAGGGCTAACTTGGGCGTTAATATCACTACTCGTGTCACTCATCTTCACGAAATAATAAGTAATACTGTAAATGAAAATGATTTAAAATAAAACGTTACAAATAAAGTGCTCGAGGTGTTTTATGACAACAACCAGAGGCTCGATAACGAATCCACGGTCAACAGAATAGCAGTGTACTGACGTCTTCAATGCTCAAGTAGAACTGCCCTCAGTACATATCTCTGTACTTCTCTTCACTCGTCAGGTCAAAATTATTCTCCAATGAACCAATCAAATATAAAGTAATTATAAGGTAAATGCTATCTATACTTTGACCGCGGCTACGTTGAGTGACCCGTAAGTCCCTCCAAACCCTAGCTTGCTATCATAAAACTCGGGAATAACATAACCGGCTTAATTCATAAATAACTATTTCTATGTTTTATGGTTTAGGTACAATTTATAAAAGGGTAATCCCTGAGTAAAGAATTCTTGAATTTTCAAAGTCTTTGAGAAAGACATCTCCGACAAATATATGAATGTCTGATCGAATATTTGTTTTAGTGTAAAAACATTAATAACTAAAAGCTCTTAAGATCTATATTTTTGTTCTGTCAGAGGGCAGATTACTCGTTTGTTTTAACCAGATAAGCTCCTATACAGATTAATAACAGGGGAGTGAAAATATTTTTAATGAGTTTCGTTAGGAACAGCTTTGAAATTTATGAGAGTTTTTTGTTAATGAGAATTAAGATTAGCCATCATTAGAGAAGATTAACAATTTTTTAAAGACTCGACTTTCACTTCCTCCCAAATATATATTTTTTTTCCATTATAAAGTTTAATCAAGATACTGTATCGTTAATTATTACATTAATTTAATTAAATTGACAATAACCAATGATTTTTAAATGCTCTTAATACCAAACTGGCGTATACATTTTAGAATAAACATAACAAAAACGAGTAAAAACATGTTTTGATCTCATTCCCTTATGAGATATACTAAATACTAGAGATGCTGAACTAAAAATTCAACGAACTTAATTTTCCATCACTAGCTTTTCTCAACAAACCTGAAAAATGTATTAAACCGATTCTGTTTACACTTTATTTCAATCCATCCTCGTGATAACACACAAAAAGGCTAATAGTAGAAATGTGGTGTTTGAAAGAATGGCAGTAAGTGTAAAAATCATTTGTATCTTACCAACAGAAGCACATGATGTTGGTTAAAGTGCGGTTAAAGTTAACGCTGCAGTTTTTTTGTCTAAAATAAGAATTCGCGTACAACAGTTTTGTGAGATTATATTTTAACTGAAAACGGCCTCAAGTAGTGAATTCAGTTTTCCAGCTACAACAGATGGTTCCTTGCGTAAAGAAGGAAAAACGATACATCTCTTTAACGGTTTGATCGACATATTTTTTATAATGTATCTCTTGTTTGTGAAAATGCCTATTTTTCAGCCCCGTATTGGCAAATATAGGACTCTCACATTTCAGAATCTAAAACATCAAAATTCAAATTCGATTGCACGTAATTATACCATCAATAAAAGAAAAATAATACAATGACGCTCACCCCTGCCGAAACAATCGATGTAAGGGTTTGTCGAATAGAAGGGGGAATAATTAATCGAGAAAAAATCCAAGGGACCTAACCACCCACCGGCACCGTCCTGTTTTTTGTTCTCCTTCCTTGTATAAATAGATATATTTATAAAGGCGATATCTTGTAATATTCAAATCAATTATGGTGATCTTGATATCACAAATGACTCACCATTTTAGTAGTAGTAGCTCATCAATGACGGAATTACTAGGAATTGTCGAATATAGTCATCAAATGCCAAACATAATTTTAATAGCATTATTTGGGATAGTATATATAACACCAATTAATTAGCGCCAATCAAAATGTGACACGTAATACTGCCGCAGACAGCATTGCCTTATATTTATAGAACAGCGTCTCGCCTAATTTGCCTTGCCCAAATCGACACCCACTAACCACCCCACACTCTGTGGGGTGTAATACGAAACGCTCTAATCAGTCACTAGTGTAATGGGCGGAAAACCTGGAAAGCAACATCTGCATGCGGGCGAGGGCACACATGACAACACCCCTTTTTTACACTGGAACTTAAGTTAAGAGGCTGCCTGTCCGGATAGGCACAAACGCATCAGCAGAGATTACATGAAGTAAAAACATTTTTATTTGCTGTTTATAAAGTATTACATTACATCTTCAAAGTTTTGACTACAACTGACTTGGCTTGATAAGATTTTCTGGAAAAATGTTTCGAATTTGTTTGAATCAACTTAATACTACCATCTAACGATTATTTTTAAATAAATGCATTCAATTTCATTCTAGGAAAAGGTTCGAAGGATATATTGGAGGAACCTGCCCCCCATTCCGCTTACTATGCGCCTGGCCAAGCCCCTTCACCGGGGGTTCAAGATGCAGCAACCCTTAGGCGACTTTTTAATACGTTATCTTTGAATCTCGCCGCCCGCATCCCGAAAGTAGGCCTGTTAAGCATCAGCAGGGGGTTCTCCATGATGAAGTGGCGCCCTGTCGTGCTGACTCGGCCGGCTGATGGGCGCTAATAGCGCCCGCCTAGGCTAATCACAGCAGATTTATGCTGCGATAATCGACATCGGCATGACCTTGAAGATTTATGGGTGCGGAACTGCTGGGGCGTATTAGGGGCGGCAGGCTGTCGATTGACATAAATCTCCCAGATGTGCTGGGCCACTTCATAAGAGTCGTATGAAAAGAATTAAGTTAGTTGGGAACATGAGCGCCGCTAGAGGGCACCAGTGGCGGAAATGGTTTTATATTAAAGGCGTTCTTGCCATTGATCTCTCTAGATGTCGGTCATCTCTGGTGTTGTCTTAAACCGTTGTCGAAAGTGAAAATTTTTGAATTTATATTGTTTGCATAGTCCGTTATTATTTTCTGGTTCAGGCTCTACAGGCGACTTCTTGCTGCGGATTCGGAACATGGGTGAAATTTTGAATTTTACATGACAAAACTTCTATGAGCTAATTTTGCTTCTACAAGACCTCAAGGAAGATAGGGACCTTAAAAACGGTCTTCTCCAAGACATACAGCATTCCACGTATATGCGAAAAAGTATACACGGTGGTCCGAATTTTATGCAGTAAATTTCGAGGGCACATAGATCTCTTTAAAATAGTAGAGGTGTTTGCTTTATAAACATAGGTCTGGAATGGCCTCGTTTTAGAGATACAGGGTGTTGCAGTTGTTAAAAAAAAATTGATTTTTTGTAATATATCTCCGGAATAGATTCATCGATTTTAATAAAATTTAGTACAGATAATGTATGATAGTAGGCCTTGTATTTCCTAAAATATGAGCTCTAAAGGTTCAACCAGTGGTGTACAACTGGACAGGGTCACCCTATTTTTTATAAAAAAAACCTACGCCACTGCATTTTTTCACCTAAATACAGTCTGTCAAAAGTCACGGAAAAATTTCGGAAATTCTTTTGACCCTTTGTTTGCATTCATGTATATAATTAACCAAAGAATCTTATAATAAATATGATAAAGAAATCACTACTAGGACTATCGATTTTCAATTCTAAATGTAATTCACCAGGTAAAGGGTTTTCAATAAATATCCATCTTAAGTTACAAACAAATAATTTAACAGAAACATTATATTTATTTCCAGTCACTAAATTGTAATATACATTTTCAAGATATATACATAATTATGCCAACTAAAGTGAAGGAAAAGGAAATGCTAACATCAGATTCGCCAAACCCTTAACGCTTGTTCTCGAGGCCATTTAAATGTCCTGGAAATCCTCAGGATAAGCTACACCCATTTCCTTTCTCAAATAGTCCATTAGCCTGGCTAGTTCAATAGATTCTTCATGAGTAATACACGGGCTTTCTAGTTTGCCTAAAAAAATTAATGAAAGACAATCAAACTATTCAGTCAATTCAGAAAAGATATCACGAACTTTTGAGTTGTAAAATAAACTTTTGATCGTTTCTGAACAAATAAATAGAAAATAATAATAATATCTCTACTCCTCATCCTAACCACGAAAGCAGGCCGCATTTGCGCCCAGGAACGACTTATGCTAGCCCTAACCACCATTCAGTGCAGGAATGAGGGAAACCTGGAAAACCTCATTAATTAGGGGGGTGGTCAAATGCCAACCGGTGTCAATCTCTCACATTGACCCAAGCCAACATTCTTCCACCCTACCATACATGCACAGAGGGTGCCAATCCTCCGTACAAGCATAGCTAATCTACGGTCTACCGGCCGCGGGAAAATGATGCACTATATCTTATTTATTTTATTTTGGCCCGTGTAAAATTTATGTAATAATATTTTTTAGTACCTTGCATTTTGAGAGTCAAACATAGTGAATTTTACCCTTCAGATAAGGATACTAACCCGCCTTAATGCACTGCCTCGCCTCTTCCCCCTCGTAAGACAACCCCACGCTATTCTTGTGCAGGAAACTTTGTGTAGTCTTCGGAAATGGAAACTCCAACACCCCATCGGGCGTAATAAGTCTATCCGGACACCAAAAATCGGGCAGTCTCAAAGTGCCCTTAGTTCCAACAACTATACCCTCGTTGGGCAAACTAACCCTAGCCGAAGTGCTTACCATCGCCATCTTTCCGCCAGGGTATGTGATGATGGCGCCGCAGGATTCGTCGGTGCCGCTTTTGTTTAAATGGCCGTTGACGGCGATTTTGACGGGGGTCAAGCCTCTGAAGATGTACTGCTGGAACTGGAGGATGTAGACTCCTAGATCGAGGATTGCGCCTCCTCCCATATTCAATTCGCTAAAATCAAAATTTTTGGTAATTCGTTGTGTATCTTTATCCACTAAGTTTCAGCTATGATTCAGCTGGCAATTGAAAAAGTATTTAGTATAAAAGACCATTCAAACTAAACTGATAAGGTGGTGAAAAGCAGCGAAGAAATAGAATATATGAGTTATGGTAGACACACACGTGATAGGTATATAAAAACTATAAATTAACTTTCAATCACGGAAAAATTTTTTCACGGAAATTCTTTTGACCCTTTAATTTTTTGCATTAGTTTATATAAATCAAAAGCAAGTTTGAAAGGTACAACACTGTGTCTACCGTATGTACCCCACAAGAAACGATTGGATTCTAGTCCTAACAAAAGATGAAAGGAAAGAAAAGTAACTAGATTTTCGCAGTATTTCAAATTACACGTACGTCAGTCTATCAACGTGCTGCAGAGCGAGACCAAAGTGCAAAGAGGCGAAGAGCACATCTCCAATAGCTCCGCTATCAATAAGTCTTTTCATTTCCTTATAAGCCGGGAAGCAACGGGACCAGATCGCCTCCATTAGGAATAGTTTCCTTTCCCTCGCTATTTGGACTAGTCTTCGCGTTTGTTTTTCATTCAGAGTAAATGGTTTCTCGCACAAAACGTGTTTTCCATGTTCGAGCATCAGCTTGGTTGTATCGAAGTGCTGAGTGTTGAGGTTGCCGACGTAGACGATGTCTGCAAAAATAATATTAATGTATAATTAACTGTAATAACTGTAAATTTTAGGTGACTATGAAGAAATTTTCAGAACACATTTCGATAACAAATTAAATGTTGCCTACTTTCTACTACATTGAGAAGTTTTTAGTGAAATATTCATTTTTCAAAACTCACACCGCTAATACGATTTTTTTGCGTTATCTTCCAAACCCTCTGTAGAGGATGGCTGTAAAATCGCCGTTAGTACAGAATTCTCGCAGTATTACTTGTGTGACACAGATCCCGCCCGAATGCATCACATGTAGCCAGCAGCAAGGTATAATTAGTTCGGTGAGAATTTAGCCAGACTTTACACGTCAGCTGGTGATGTATCAACAACTCTAATCACTCTCCAGCGATGCCCGTTGTTTTGAATGATGACAGCTAACCCTTGCATCGCGGCGTTACATTAAATTAAAAACGTCTGGTATTAGCTAGAGAGTAACTGAAGAGTTTGGTGTAAAAACAGGTGAAGTTCATTTTCTAAAAGATGTGTTAACTGCCTATGAATAAAACGATCTGATGAAATTTCTAAAAAAGGGTGTAATATTTTTTAAATTATTTTAACACCCTGTGTCTTTCTGTCAACCAGTGGCTTTATACTTCAGCCCAAAGGAACACTTCCCTGAAGTTATGACATGAACTTTAAAAACATCCTGGTTTTTCGCTGTTAAATGTTATACAACTATGGGTAATAAAAAGTTTCAGACGTAAACTGCTTATGGTCCTTTATAAAACAAGGTTTTATTAGTTTCGTTGTCTAAATCCATTTCAATTTTTTTAAATGGAAACCTTTTTTTCTTGTCCACAGCTGCATCAAAGTCCATATGTGTAAAGCATTCACATTTGTCGGATTTAATTTTTATATGTTATTTGCAATGTTGAGGACAGGTTAGATATATTTTCTTGCTCTATTAATGAAATTAAAAAGCGGATTCTTTACTGTTAATTTATAGTTTTAATACTTCATTTTTGTTTTTACTTTTTTATTGATTCGTGTTTATCTATATGTATAAGTGAATGTGCGTGCATATGTATCGATATTTTTAGGTATTTATTTATGTGTAATGATTTTATATATTCTATATCTACCATAGTTTTGCTGCTCTAATATATATTTTTCTCTGTGTATATGTATGTATATTATATTATGTCTACTATATTTTGTGCTGGTATATTGCCATGTTCATTTATTATTATTAATTCTATGCATTGACATACATTTTCGAATGCATTGTGTGTTGTATTACTACATTGACTTTGTATTATATAACTGGGCATTTGTCTGTTGAATATGTAGTGAAATAAATAAATAAATATGTATAATATGTTCCATTTCTCCATAACATAAATAGTATTTCTTTGTACAGAATGTCCCATTTTTTCAGGTGTTTTTCCTTCATCTTTTCGGTCTTGTTTCATTAATTTTATAATAACATACATGTTTGACTTAACTAGTTCTATTCAGGTACAACTGTTGTTACCTTTTTGTCCATTTTACATTGTCAGTAACTATAACAAAATAGTACGTAAACCACAGACAAAATAGCTGGCGATAAGCTGACAAAGCAATAGGCAATATTGAATTATGATCAATGAACATAACTAACTCATACACTATGTAGGATATTAATTGATTTTGTAAAAATTTTCTTAAGAAATTGCAGTTCAACCGTTGGTATCCGACATTATACATTTATTGATCCATATTTTGGTGGATTGCCGCGTCATATGTCGGTCCACTGTGTGTGGTTGTAAAATAACGAGCTTTCAAATAAAAACGTGGTCGAAGTTGGCTCTGACACATTGGACGTAGGGCGTAGCTTATAGCGACCAACTTAACCTCATTTCTCAACGAGCTGTATAGCAGCTGTCAGTTTCAATAACAAAGCGGCGATACAGCGCTTTGACAGATGACGTTTAAGTTCATTTGCTATACGCTACGCCCTACGTCCAAATTTTCAGAACCAACTTGACCACATTTTTATTTGAACGCTCGTTATATAATAAAATTTCCCGTTTTTGGAATTCATTATATTAAAAGGGAAATTATAAATGTTTCAATGTCCATAGGCATAAACATAGTTCAAAGAAGAAAAGTGACAGAATTTGTACTTACCTACATCCTCGTCCTTAGCCAGGCCTTCGTATCCTTCGTAGGACTTAGGAATTCCATGATCCGCAGCGAATTTATCGGCCCTATCCTTGGAACCTCCCGCCACCGCGACAACCTGATGATCCGAAATCGGAAACACCGTCAGGGAGGCGACGAAGTCGTGAGATATCCTACCGGCGCCGACAATTCCCCATTTGAGGATCATTTCTAACGATTATTTTTGAGTAACTGTGGCGATCTACCAGGCACAATTAGAAATATATCCTAGCTTGTGAACAGAGTTTAATTCCACTTAATAAACAATGAGCGATAACCTTTTGAATGTATTTTTATTGACAATTAAGCGCTATCTATTGCGTAATTGATAAATTTATTTAAACTGACATGCAAAAATATTAATGAAGAGCAAATACAAATACATGAATGAGGCTGAAAGACGGGTGAAACTCCCGCTCAGATAAAGCCAACAAACTCAGTCCTAATACCGACATCTTTTTCTTTTAATGGGAAATGAAATTCCCGATTCAAAGAAACCACCCTACAACAAAATTACCACGAAGCCAGCAGAGATAAATACGTAACTTAATCTATATAATTAATGAAATAAATGATTAAGAAATCCCTTTGATTCTGAACAAAGGCAAAAAATGGCCCAGAGATTAATCGCTATCCGCTTTTGAGAGCTATAGAGGTCTTTTATCTGACGTCAGGTTATTAATGTGCATAGTTATTGTTAAACGTCTCAAGCACAGAATATCCTGGATGTTCAATAAATAATTGTATTGTAGGATACACAGGGAGCACCAAAAGTTATGCATAAGATTCATATCGTTGTTGTTGCTGATGGAAAAATAATAAAAGATGTTAAATGGGAAATGTTTCTACTTTGCACTGTTTTGATATATTTAATTAAATTAGAAAGTGTGTTAAATATCAGTCATTTAATTAATATTTCCAAGCAAAAGCAACTTCAAATGCTCCTCGAGGTTCCATTCTTGGTCCCTATTATTCAATCCATTTATTACACTTTTTTATTCTACCTTTATAACGAACTATAAAACTACATTTTTTCAAACAATTATTTCAGCCGCATATCAGCCAAAAATAAAGGTTTCACGTCACTTTCAACAAAACATTAGTATTAGGTGCTTATCTCACCTGGATCGAGATAGACGACTGCCCCATATTTTTACCGATATAATGTATGCCTTCCATAATCGAAGCAATAACGTATATCGATGCAAAGGCATCAACCCCCATCCCCTCGTAAATATTCCTCGTGGCCCAGACAATCGTTTCGGAAATTCCAGTAGTAAACTGCTAAAAAATGTTTCGCATTTGTCGAATCTATCGACCCGTTTGTCTTGCAGGGCTCGCGCTGTATTGCCCGGTGTTAGGCAGCGGCGTACCAATTCCGCAGGGACTATTTCGAAACCAAAAAAATAAAATTATTGGCGTTAATTTGATTAATATATAATTAGTATAATCATTATTTACTATTAAACTTAATTATTTGTTTTCTAAGTAGATACTTCAGACACTTGGCGGTCTTTCTTGCTGGAAAGCTCTCAACGAAATAAATTCCGTTCCCCACTCCACAATTTTGCCTACCGTCTGGGTAGTGAGTGTTCACTTGTACACATTGTGTGTCCTGAAGATGTACATGTTAAATAAACGAGATATTGGCTTAATAGCAATACGGTTCTCTTTTTATCCTATCTCGGACTGTCATCAACGTAAATCGTTATTTGAAGGATAGGCCAAATTTGGACTAAATTTTACTTAAACTCTTGTGCAACATGAGCAACAAAATGAACACTTGTACAAGCACGTAAACTAGATCGGAGTATTTCCATTAAAAATACCTGACAAATAATTTGTTCGTTAAAACGAAGCTTCGCCCGCCACTGCTGCAACACGAAAACCTCCACCGGCTTAGCATTATAAAGCAATTCATCAATCTATATCAGTCTCTATAAAAAAGAGGAGAGATTTGTTTGAGAAATATGTTCAGTCTATTTTTAATCCCGACTCTCCTTCCATAAATATAGGAAAATTATAACAGATTTTTCCATCACGCAATTTTTTGTAGGGGTTATTTGTCTTACAGGAACAAGCGGGGTTCTAAAACCTCGCTTACCTGAACAACGAAGGCTTGGTTAGGTAATATAAGACTCTAGGTTTCAGGAAAAGGAGTTTGCAAACTACAATAGGCACTCGTATTTGATTTTGAAGGTTCTGTGAGATGTTTACGAGTGATTCAAAGGTTTTTACTCACATAAAAGACCGCATCCGCAGTTATTTTAATAGCTACTACCAAGCTTGTTCCTTGTTGACACAGTCCGTCGGATTCATATCCGACGGCCGTAAAATGCAATCATTCATGACAATAATTCACTAAAAGATTACGGATTATTATTCAACGCTTGTCCAAGAAAGTAAAGGAAAAGTACGTACGAAACCTGACAGTAAAAAATACATAATTAAATAAATTTAGAGAAGCAATTTTATGTGAAAGATTTTTTAAACCCATGCTTTGAAGCCTTTCTAACAAAATATACACATACACATGCATGTAATAGCAACATCCTCACATCCCTATACAGGGTGTCTCTAAAAAGAATGGACAACGCTTGACCACAGGTTCCTTGGATGAAAATAAGACAATTTAACCTAACTTACCTATATACAAAAGTACACGCCTACTGAGATATAGCCTTCTAAATATTGAAGAGATAACCTAGTTGTTTTCAAATAATTTGAAAACTGCTTTTCTTAGAATCTTCAAATTTGGTACACATATTTTTTTATATAAGGGCAATGTAAATGTAGAATTTGGTGACAATACATATACAGGATGTTCTCTTTCTAGTGCCTGTGCGACACTGGCTATCCCGTAACTTTTTTTGTGTGTACGCCTGTGACGACAGAATTTATATTTTTAAAAATAAGCACTATTTTAGAAGATTTTTTGTCCCTTACAACATTTTGATACCTTTTATGGATTTCGAGTAAAATTGGCATTTTTTACACATTAAATAATATAAAATCAGTTTAAGATAATTAGAACAGTCTAGCACGAGGTGCCATATTAACAACAAACAAATTCATAACGATAATTAAAAGGTTCAGTGTCAAGCTAGGTGTGATTTAATTTTAGCTTACTTGGTCTTTTATTGCAATTTATACTTTCGCTGAACAAACTGATATTAGTTTTGGGTTATTTTGAAGGAAATTGTTGTGCTAATGTTTGAACATATACTGAAAGATTTCCTAATCGAAGAATTCCAAATCACAAAACATTTGCTAATGTAGAGAGGCCTTCGGGAAACAGGACGTTTTTTACCTGTAACATTAAATCGTGACAACGTACGGCTAGAACTATTCAGCTGGAGGAACAAATTTTGGAAAGGGTCGAAGAAATTCCTCAAGTAAATACAAGGCGTTTAGCGGCAGAGGTTGGTTTTCAAAAAGTTCCGTTAATAGAGTATTAAAAGACCAGTTATTTCATCCATTCCACCTCCAATCAGTTCAAGAACTTTTACCTACCAGTAGATCCTCCGTCATGTCTTGCTTTCAGTCAAAGTATTCAAGAACTAAAAAATAGAGACAAAAATATCCATAAGAAAGTTCTGTTTACAGACGACACCGCCTTTACTAGAAGGGGTATTTTTAATTCACATAATAAACATGTTTATTGTGATGAAAATCCACATGGAATCAATAAAAGTCGGTTAAACATGAATTTAAGATTAAGTTTGGACAGGTATTATTATTAGTATTCTAATTGGTTCTGTTATTTTACCTGCTACATTGAACGCAGAAAATTATTTAGAATTTCTTCTAACGAGATTACCCTATCTGCCTGAAGAGTTACCGATAACACTACAAATGAATATTAAAGGTGGATAGGTAGAGGAAATAATACCCCCTTAAAATGGCCACCTCGATCCCCGGACCTAAACCCATGTAATTATTTCCTTAGGAGAGCGTTGAGGGCCACAGTTTATAGCTTTTCAGTAAATACAGAAAACGAATTATGGGAAAGAACACAAAATGAAATTAATGTTATGACAGGTAATGCACAATATTTATTGGATAAAATTCATTTTAATTTCCTAAGAATTAATGCTTGCATTAAAGAACAAGGAAGTCACTTTGAGCATTTACTGTAATATTATTTTATTGTGATTACAAATATCAATTTAGGTTTATTTAAAATATCAATGTTGACTTTCTTACATTATTAGTTGATATTGTTTATTTAAAATACTATTGTTGAATTTTTTTTATTGATTGATACTAAGACTAAAAACGTTGTGATAATTTTATTATTTTATTTTTTAAAATGAAGTGAGTTTTTTCATTATTGTTCCCTGCTTTGAGGCTGCAGTTATAAATTATTTTTTAGTAATGGATACAGATAAGTTAGGCTAAATAGTGGTATTTTCATCCAATGAAACTGTGGTCGAGCGTTGTCCATCCTTTTTAGGGACCCCCTGTATAATAGGAATTCAAAAATAGAGCAGAACAAGCTATGTGGTCCCAGCCATGATCGAATTACGGTGCACCTGGATAAACACCGCCTCTTACCGGCGTTTAAATTTTATAAAACTAGCAAAAACACCTTAATTTATTTCAGACAGTTCCTGCTTTTCCTCTGGGAGTAATTTTAGTACATTAAGAATAATCTGGTCGAAACTGCTTCGAGCGTACTCGGGATGTATATATTTTAAGCAGTGATTTAGCATGCACTCAACTTAAGAACATTCTGTACAAATTAATTAGAAAGCCGTTTTCGTTAGTCTAAGTAAATTTAAAATGCTTAGCGGCACTCAAAATATAGAAATCACGTACAGATGTCATATTTCACTTTTAATTACGTATGACGTATACAAATGTTTAGTTGATTCAAGTGAGTTCGAATTCCTTAAATGAATCTGAAGTTTAATATACTTGAACCTAGAAGACAAAAAAATCCGGCAAAACTTGAATAAAATAGCTCAATTCAATGTCGTTTTTCTTTAATAAAAAAATATATGAATATTTTTCAAGATTTTTAATACCCTGTATTTCGATTTGTATAAACATTTTCGTTAGTTGGCTGTTACACACACACAGTATGAAGTAAACTTCATATTCCAATATCTAACAACACCAAATATGTTTTGAATTCTCCCTAAGCAATTTTTTTTGTCCCGGAAGCTGAAAATAATGATTAATTTCAGAAAAAGCGCCAAGTCACAAATTGCCCTCGTT